GCAGGCGCATGGAAGGGCAGGGAGGTTTGCTGTCTCTGCCTCAAACTTTCCTCATTTGCACATGGAAGGGCAGACAGGTGTGCACTCTCTCTGCCTTAAAGTCCATTCTCACTGAGGGCGAATATAGGTGCGGATTATTCTCGCAGAAAAATATAAAAGTTGATTTCATGGGTTCTTATGGAAGTTTGCACACCGGGGTGGAACTTTTGTGCGGTGAAAAAAGTTTCCGCCCAGACTTTGACCCCCCGCGGAATTCGCCGGCGAAACTACACAGCTGGGCCAAGGAATTTGTTTGTTTATAGTCGCACAGACCTGGGAGAGTCCGAAATCCAGTCAGGCAGGACAGTATGGGAGAAAGGTTGATAAACCTCGTTTCACAGCACCCCGTCCTTTTTGATAAAAGACAGGATGATTTTATGAACAATGAATTAAAGGACAGTCCATTGTCCAGCTTGGTGGCTGCGGTAAGAGTGGTAAGTGCTAAAGAAAGTTGATGTTGACGCTTGTTAAACGTTAGCTTGCTAGCTCGCTGCTGCTGCTACTCGCGTCCACACCCCTTCACACTGTGCGGTATTGTAACACAACAACGCGAAATTCCGCACCGCGTCCGAACCGTGCCTGTGTGTATGGTTTAAACGCGGAAAAGCGCTGCGTGAATATTCCGCAAATCCGTCCCGCATTTCCGCATCGCGGTGGTGAGAATGAACCTTTAAGCTTTCTGCATAGGTGTGTGGAAGAGCCTTTTTGCCTAGGCCAGAGGAGAGGTTTTCTTTACTTAAGTTTTCCTGACTGACATAAAGAATGTGTGGAAAACCCTGGTTCCAGGGGTGCCCACCAGTCTCCCCTAAACTTTCTTTACAATCAATGTAATCCTTTAAATTTAAACTGTATATTTGTCTTATTGAGAAAAAGGACAACCAGCCTTTATGAAGAACGTGAATCACCAAAACATGTATGTACAGATACATAACACATTAAAGGTCCCATTCTGTCAAGTCAGATTTTTGTGTCATTTCAAGAATAAAGCAGGTATAGGTGCTGAATAAATACTGTGTAAGCATCAAAACGTTCAGTCCACAGACAAATGCACACACTCCAAATTCAGAAACTGCATTATCCACTCCCTAAAAATTCAGTTATGGCTTTTGGTTTTGGTGGTGGGCCCTTCTGGCTACCCTTATGAAAAATTTCTGGGGACACCACTGCGTCCGTCATGACTGCATCATTGCAAATCCTTAGTCGCTGTCGGACATCCCCGTGTTTGTCCCTGGCTAACCATCAGTAATGACACACAAAGCTTTTCTAGGTCACCATACAAAAACAACCCCATCTGTTTTCTTGCACCAAAGTCTTCTCCTTGGTGACAGTCGGCATGGTTGCGCCTTGTTGACTCAGTGAAAGAGAAGTGATGGCGAATGTGTGTGATATGATGTCTCACTCAGGACATGGGGAGCCTCAGTCCCCTCTGTGCACTGACTGATCACATTACTATTAGCGAAAGCTATTCTGTCAGGAGGAGAAGTTATGGCCCAGCGAAGGAGGGCCTCAGGGTGAAACAGGAATCCAGTGACAGGAAGTAAGCTTAAGGGGTGATCCAAGGTGATTGGACATGAAGGGTCTTAGCTGTCCTGTTCAATTCTTTTTTACTTATAAAATCTTGTTTCCTTCCTCCAAAATTAAGTTTTTGCTTTTGTACTTATCAGTGTTGTTATTTGATACTCTGGATAATTCTCAGTGGAGTGAATGGTGCCAAGACAAAAAAGTATGGCCTGTGCCTTAGCTGCATGCGCAGCAGTAAACTGTCACATATGTAACAGGTGGATCTGATGAATGTTTATCCTACTTTATATGTTACCAAATGCACCGTCTGCCTCAGATGCATCCTCTGCCCAGTCTTCATGATATACAGCTTCATCTTTATACACCTGCCAGGCTGTCCTGCAGGCTTAATTCACATTTATGTTTCCAGACAATGGCCTCATCTGATATCAAGACACCAACATTAGTCACTGGTTAGAGACAGCACATCCCTGTCTGTGTGTCATCTGGACAGCTAGACTTTTACAGATGTCCAATTTGGAGCAACAGAACAAATTTAGCCCAACAGGAAAAAGGCTCTGGTCGTTAAATCAAAGACCAGATGGGTTTTACTCTCCTGCTTCGGACTATCAGGTCTCTGTAATTGTATTAGGATGTCAAATAGTTTGGTACATGAGGCACTGGAGAGGAAAATAAGATTTCCCGTGGTATCTGGGATTTCTGTCAGTTTTACAATTCAACAATTTAATTATTACCAAATGTAAGAAGGCACAGGCATCCTAGTGGATTTGTAATGCCACCACATCACAAACTAAACCTCACCAACTCTAACATTATATCCGTTTGGTCTCATTTCTTATCCACTGTAATCCCCTCTGAAACAAGAAACAAAAGCCTCAAAGAACAAAATATTTCCAAATGACCTCTCAATTGAATGTTTCGACTGCTCTTTGGAGATCAAGCCATGTTCCATGGGTGTGTGAACCCTATCCGACCTTGGATAAGCTGATGCATCTGGCGACGTCGCCTGATGTGGCCTCGCCAAATCTCTGTCATTTTGATCAGCCTCACTGCTCAGTGAATCACACATGCAGGACGTTTCCAGGCCCCTGTCTGACGCAGACCACATCTTTGAAGGCAAAAGAGGGGGAACAAACGCATCTTTAGAAGTGAAGGATCTGAGGGATCCATCATAAAGAGAAAGGGAGAGCACAGGAGGGGGGTTATTGAGACGAGGGATGGAGATGGTGAATATGAAAGACAACACAGGGAACATAAAACAAGAGGGGGAGACAGAGAGGGTATAATGTAGACAACAGAGTGGGATCTGGCATCCTTTGATCAAATTGTGAATGTTTTCAGCAGCACATAAGTCAAATGAGTCATTTCCTTAAACACTGCTGAAAAGAAATGATTTTAGGGAGTTAGGAGGACTGTAGGTGTAGTAAGTTAGATGTTTGATCACAATACACTATTATAAGATGGGTGGAAGTAGCAAAATAATACCCTAAATTAACCCTATTTAAACTGCTCTGGCCTGCCTACTGTTGCTGCTTCCTCTGCAAGCTGCTTTGCAGCCCGCCTCCACCCAGCTCCTCCTTTTCATGCTGTGTCTGACTTATCAGTGTCATTTCTGTTTGTCATTGATGCTGCTCTGTTCTGTTCCCGGGGGGTCTTTGCTGCTGCTCTCATGCGCATGGAAGGGCAGAGAGGTTTGCCCTCTCTGCCTCAAACTTTCCCTATTTGCGCATGGAAGGGCTGAGAGGTGGGGGGTTTTTGTTTTGTTTTTTTAATCTAGCCAAGTAGGCCTACTTTTGTTGCCTCATCTCACAATATTAACCATGTTACATGTTGGGTTTTTTTTTGTTTTTTTTAAAAGACATTTTTTAAAAAATGTCTTTTAAAAAAAACAAAAAAAAAACAAACAAAAAAAAAATTTCTGGATTATTTTTCAGGGCTTTTGCCTTTAATGGATAGGACAGTGTATGAAATGGGGAGACAGAGAAAGAGAGCGGGGACTGACACGCAGCAAAGGGTCGCAGGCCGGACTCGAACCTGCGACCACTGCAGTGAGGCAATGCCTCTGTACAACATGGAGACAGCTGTGTATCACACACACACGCTAAAGGATGCTTTTGGCATCAGTATCACACATAGAAGGGCATCAGAAAGCGTTGGTATTTCACAATCTGTGATGAGAACATGTTTTTATCAGAGCTAAGCACAGAGGCTGAAATTAGTGGAAAGTAGTGAATCTGACTTTGGCTGAGGGTAAAAATTCCACCTGCCAGCACCTCAAAATCTCACAAATTTCCTTCTGTATTCAGTCAGTGAACTGTAGCTTTATATCAGAGTGCTATCTTTTTATCTGACTCTTAGCAAGAAGAATATCTGAACACAGCCAGATGTCAGACTGTCTGAATACAGCTTGTGGCAAGACCTCAGCGCTTTTCTATATTTAAAATGTTTTCTCTATTTTAAAGTACAGTTGAGACTCCCTGTTCATTACTGAGCCCCATACAGCGATCACAGCCGTTTATGGTGTGTGCAACAGGTGTCCATGCAAAGATTATAATTACACCAGATCATCTACCATGATGATGAGTCCCAAGTTAGCCATCACAAGGCCTCATACAAGAAATTAGGGTCTGAACACCACTGAAAAGCAGGCAAAGTGAATCACCCAAAAGAACTGAATTACATGACTCTATGAAATTGTGAATGTTTCAGTCTAAGGATTTTTTAAAGGTGCAGGTACACACTAAAGACATTAAACACACATTAAACATGGCTTAATGGCGACAATTTCAAACACAAGTACACAAATCAGCTTCACTATAACTCACAGCATTCACAGACAAACACTTGTCTTTATCTGGACACATTTTTCCCACAAATACAACATGCTAATGTTATTAGCACAAGCCTATGGCATTTTACATTGTATAAATTAGCCAAGTGGCTAGCGAACTTTTCCTTTACTCATATGAAACCAGGTACAACAGCAAAATTTAACAAAGGTAACGTTACAAAATTCGGCTCCATTACAACTCAGAAGATTCACTGACAAAACAACTGTCTTATACTAAACAGATTTTGCAAACAAATAGAACATGCTAATGTTATTAACACAAGGTTATGGCATTTTACATTGTATAAATTAGCCTAGCAACTAGCGGAGATTTCCCCTGTTCATATGAAGCCAGGATAAATCACACACAAGACTTAAAATGTTATTTTTGTGGAGGCTTTACTGTCTTCACAGTTTATTGTTTCTTATCTGTGAAATTAATGTAAAAAAACCCTTTGTTTCCACTGAGGGATTAATGCTAGGTTTTGTTTTTGAGTGCAAGTAGGTTCCAGGATGAGAGCAGACTATAGGTCCTTCATTGATGAATATTAGGCTTAAAGTTATTTGGATGTCTGATGAAAAGGTTATCATGGCGGTTGAGGTGGTGTGTGTTTTAAAAAAAATCTCTCCAACTCATTTTTATTTTGTAACAGACTCAGCAGGCAGAAGCAGGTGTTTTGTAGCTGCAGCTGTAGAGTCACCGCCCAGCAGGTGCTGACACACATAATCCATCCACAGGCTGCCTGTAAACACACACACACACACACACACACACACACACACACACACAGTTATCACTCTCTCTCCGTCTGTCTCATAGAATGAGGAGCAACACAGGAAATTGTGTCGAAGCATTCAGTATATTTTTTTCCTTGTGAACTCTGACCTCATGTTTGTGACAGAAGACGTCAAAAGGTCCAAAAGAAATCATCTCAGAAAGACACCATAGGGTGACTCTGCAAAGTGGGTTTCTCACGCCCCCTGCTGGAAGACTTGTGTAACTGTAGGCAGCAGTGGAAGATGAGTCACATTGACAGATGACAGCTAATTGACAGCTGTTAGAAGCTGCAGTGATGGATGACAGTGCGTTCACGTAACTGATGACCAGTCCATTAGTAATAAAAGGAACATTAATTGTTTAAGTGAATCTGTTGAGCTCCGTGAACTGTGTTTTGTTTGTATTATCTCCATAGTAACGGATGTAAAAGCAGGAGGGTCAAAGTTCAGGGCGTAATGTTATGAGGAAGTAGCATGTCCTGATTATGTGCATACTACATGCAACAGTACGTCCTTTTTAAAGGGCAGCTGCTGTACCTACTTGAAGTAAAAAGAAACCTACACCTTTCCTACATAAGAGACTGAGAACACACAGACTTTGTGGTGACTCTGCTGCTTTATTTTGTTGTTGTCATCTTGTGTCTCTTCATAGTCATTGTTTGTGTCATTTTGTGCCTCTTTTTTTGTTGTTTTGCCCCTTTTTGTTTTCATTTTGTGTCTCTTTGTAGTTGTTTTATGCATCTTTGACGTCAGACAGAGGTTTTGTGGGGAATTTCTAGGTCATTTTTGTTTTTTATTTTGTGTATCTTTGAGGTCATTTTAAAACATTTTGTGTCTCTTTAAAGCATTTAGTGTGTCTTTTTGGTTGTTTTGTGTCTTTCTTTGCTCATTTTGTGTCTTTTTTGCCCATTTTGAATCTCTTTGTAGTTATTTTGTGTCTCTTTATAGTTGTTTTGTCCATTTTTTGTAGTTATTTTGTGTCTCTTTTTGATTGTTTTGTCAGTGTTTTAGTTATTTTGTATGCCTTTGTAGTCATTTTATGTTTCTTTTAATGTTTTGTGTTTCTTTCTAGCCATTTTGTGTCTGTTGATGGTTGTTTTTCGCCTCTTTTTAGTAATTTGTGCTTTACAGTTATTTTGTGTCTCTATTTTGTTACATTATCCCTTTTGTAGTTATTTCATGTCTCTTTTGGTCCATTTTTGTTGTTATTTTGTGTCTTTTCGTAGTAATTTGTGTTTCTTGTTTTCTATTTTAGTCATTTTGTGTATCTTTTTTGGTTGTTTTATCTCTTTTTGTAGTTATTTTGTGCTTCTTTGAGGTCATTTTGTGTGTTTTTTAAAGAAAATGTGTCTCTTTTTTGGTTGTTTTGTGTGTCGTCTTATCATTTTGCCCCTTTAGTAGTTATTTTCATGTCTGTTTGAGATCAGTTTGTGTGGGTTATTTTAGGTATTTTTGTATCTTTATTATTGTTCTGTGTCTCTTCTGGTTGCTTAGCCACTTCACTAGTTATTTTGTGTCCATTCTTGGTTGTTGTTTTTCATTTTTGTGGTTATTTTGTGTATGTTTGAGTTCATTTTGTATCTTTTTTTGATTGTTTTCTTTCTCTGTGTAGTCATTGTGTGTCTTTTTGTGTTTGTTTTGCCCTTTCTTTAGTTATTTATGTCTCATTGCAGTTCCTTTGCATCTCTTCATGATCTTTTTGTATCTCTTTGTTGTCCACACATGTAATATGAGTGACATTTTGTGGGTGAATCCCAGGGGGGGCCCTGACACTTTGGGCCTCTGAGCCTCCTGTGTCTGGTAGGCCCCATCAGTAATCTTATCCATGATGTAGAATAGACAAATTGTTTATGAGTATGAGTTCAGGAGTGTGAAATGAGCACTTGGCTGTTAATACTTAGCTCCCATTAAACAATCAGCTTTTAAGAAAAAAAATCTGCTCAAAATGTGAAACATTTTAAGATCAATATAAGATGTTAGTATTGAAAATGCGCAATGTTTTTAAACTTGTGCAATATGATGACAGCCAAGAAGCCAGAGGGAATGAGAGTAGAATAAGCAAATTATTGAGAAACACAAAATTGTAACGTTGAGAAAAAAATACACAAATGTTCTCAGTGTACTGTGCAAAATTGTATTTTAAGCCAACAGATCATTATCAGGCATAAAACAATCCAAAAATACTTCATTTAAACACACGACAAACTCATGAAGTAAACAACACATGTCCAGTCTTTCAAGCAACTGGCTGCAATTCAAAGTAATTAATTCCTTTTCATCAGCGTCATCGTATTTCACCAGCGTTCATCAGCTGCTGCTGCTGCACCCCGGCTACAGGCACATTCTTCAAGTCTTTATGATTTGACACAACTGTAAGCTGCCCACGGCTCCATCTCTGATAAAGTCCTGATCACACACTGCGAGCCAGCACTCTACAACTGCTGTTTATCTTTCAGAGCCCTCTCTACCCAATGAAAGCTGGCTCTCAAAATAAAGATTGACCTCTAAGATTTGAACAGAGGACAGGACAGTACTCAGCTGCTCCTTTCTACAAACTTTGAAAGATCCCTTCGTACCAACTCACAGCACACAAATCAGCCCTGCCATGTTCAGACTGCCAGCGACCAATAACACTCAGGATTTATGAGATCACTTAAAAAGTACACACAAGGAGGCGGATATATATATTCTCTGGCTCATTGTTCCTGTGATTTACTGGAGCAACAAAGAGGGCATTTTTCATTAGTACTGAGTGGTCGAGAGGCATATGATCTTATGCCTTTGGAAACAAGCACGGAAGAATAGTGTCACTGTTGTTTTAACCAAGCTCAAGGAAAGAAGACAAGGAAGAAGAGGAGGAGACCACCCGTGAGTTGTATCCACGAAAACAAAGAAATGATGCTTTTTTTTACCTAGCTAAAACAGGAAATTAGAAAACTATCAAAAGTGGAAACATGTTGAATGGACTGATGGAACATTTAGGGGATTTTTTCGGTGATGCATGAATGAGTAGCAAATGTGTTGTGGTGTTGCCAAAGGAGTGAAAAGAAGACTGTTACTTGACCAGCTGAATTGCGTCTCCCTGATTAATTGATTCTGCCCTTCATTCTTTAGCAAAGAGAGATCGTAGATGGAAGGCTGTCCACAGAATGTGTCAAAAGACTCACGTCACAGGAAAGCACAACACTGGCTGAATTCCAGTTACCTTCAGTTTCAGGGTCCTGGTGGCTCACTTGTCACTCTCTCATGGCTCATACTGAGACACCTGAACACAACAGAGCCTTTGTTAATATTATTAGGAACACCTGTGCTCTCCCTTTATGAGAAATAACTGAGGGCATCTAAAGCCAACCCAGTCGCCAGAATAGATTTTGGCATTGTATGTTTCTGCAAACCTTTAGTACCTTACATTGGTGTTATTATGCAGTGAATATGCTGAAACTTTACATTTAAACAAGGCAGTGGTTAATGAGTGGTTAGGTTCGGGGACAAAACCTTAGGGTTTAGTAAAGAAAAGATAACGTTTGGTGTAAAATAGCCTGTTTTTCTAAAAAAAATTCACTTCCGACCTCGTCACATATCGACGTTTGGTCATGGACTTTCCACGTCAAGATACAACGTGAAAGGTACCCTGGGTGCATTGCTTGTTGACGCTCTGGGACACTGTGTCAAGTTCTGCCTGTTACATGCATTGTCTTCCTTCAAAATACACATCTGTTTTCACAGGAAATTTATCGTTTACATACAGCATCTTTCAAAATAAATGCACTATGTCAGTACAACAATGTGAATTGAAGTTTTTCTTCCTCCAATTTACAGGAATGTGGTTAGGGTTAGGAAAAAGAACAGGGTTTGGCTTTAGAATCTTATGGGACACCAACACTGCTTTCCCAGTTGGAAGTTGATGTTTGTTGGACCCATCCACTGCCACTCCACCCTACTTGGACTTTCGCCACCTCAACTTTTGTTCTCATCCCGCTGTGTTTCCCCCTGACACCGCCTGCTCCATTAAACTATAACAGTGACTGGCAGGGAGGTTTGTGCTCTCTGCCTCAAAATTTCCCTGTTTGCGCATGGAAGGGCAGAGAGGTTTTTTTTTTTTTTTTAAACTAGCCAAGTAGGCCTACTTTTGAAGTGCGACGTCAGACAAGTCACTGCCTAAGCGCCGGATTTTAATGACTTCGGAGTGAGACTGGGTTGCTTTTACTGGCACAGTTCCTGCTGGAAATGCAGTTATATCGCTGTAAAAAAAAAAAGGTGCTTTTCCTGGTGCTTTTAGTGATAGGTCACTAAATACACCTATGTTTGGTGGCTAAAAACACTGCGATGATTTACTTAAAAAACACCTGGTTTTGTTTTAGTGTTGGTCCTACACATTGCTCTGCAGCTTGGCATGCATCTGGCCCAGTCGTTACCCCATCCACCATGCCCTCCACCACCTGCATACAAAGTTAGTTCATGGTATTCTATGTCACTTTAGAAACACTGATATAATACTATAAAACCAAGTGGCAACCTCTGGCTGAAGGTAAAACCAATGCAGAAGTGCCAAAAAACTGCAGTTCCTTGAATGTCCACTTGAGGCTGGATCCAAGAGTGAGTCGGTCCTTGTTGACCCCCATGTTAAAATGCCCAACTTTACAGCAGAAATAAACATGTTGACAGCCTGGTACAAAAAACAAACAAACATGATGTTTTTCCAAGCAACGTTGATGTCGGGGCTTCAGAACACTTGGATCACTACAGATGAGCAGTATGGAGATATTTTGTGGTTTCAGTTATGTGTTTTTGGATGTTTTAATCTGGGGCACTGTAAGCCTCCATTAGGTGGAGTCGTGTTGCTACCCACTCTCCCCTGGGATCTCCGCAAGGGATGTGAGGACTCTAAAACTTCACCTGAGCCTCCCTCGGCATATGGGTGAGTAGATAATGGCTGAATTTTTTGGGTGCACTATCCCTTTAAAGTTACACATAATTAAGGGCGTGGTGGCTTTGAATGGCAGATGGTTGCCATCCCTGAACAAGTTGCTCCCACAGTGACAGCATTGGTGAGGGATATGTTACGGCTTTATTTATTATTATTATCATTAGTATTGGTCAAAATTGACTCTTGATAGTAAAGGTTGATGACCCCTGCTTTAGGGAGTTTGCTGTTCAGATTTTCTGTTAAGTACATTTAGCTTGAATAGTTTTATGCCTGATTATTTTGCTAGCCAAAATCTGCATTAGCATTGTCTCGCAGGTTCCCTTGAATCACGGCTGCACCTCGATTGTGGGTCTTGGTACTACTGCTATTACAGTATCATACTTCTACTATTATTGTACACGTAGGATTATTAGTGTCACATAGATATAATGTTATATACTAATATATGCTACCAAAATATTAATATTACTATTTTTATATTATAGCTATTGTTATTGCTGTCTGCCCTGCAGCTCTATCTGTCTCATTTTTTCATACGGATTACTGCAAATTTATTATGTTGCTGTGTTCTGTATGACATCTATTGCACGTCTGTCTGTCCTGGAAGAGGGATCCCTCCTCAGTTGCTCTTCCTGAGGTTTCTACCATTTTTTCCCGTTAAAGGTTTTTTTTGAGGGTCCAAGAACAGAGGGATATCGTATGTTGTAAAGCCATCTCAGGCAAATTTTACTGAATTATCACAGTTAATCGTAGCTTTAAATGCTAATACTAACCAAGCTAGTAGATAGGGTCAGTGTTAGCTCCACCCACTTGTCCAAATATGGACACTTCTGGCCCCAAATATCCAAGATGGCGATGGCCAAAATGCCAAATTTCAGGTTTACAAACCAATGGGTGATGTCACAGTAGCTATGTACATTATTTTATACAGTCTAATATGTACAAATGTAATGTATCCTTGTAAAAACTTACAAGGCCAACAATTTCTTTTGGCAACTGGGCTGTTAAAACACTGTGAGCAGCAGCAAAAACAACCATGTATGATGTCATAGAAATCACATATTACCCATTTCATCAATGGAAACATTTGGTCTGCCTTTGCAAACAAATCATGGACTAACATATGGGTGTGCAAAGGCCCTGCACACACACCAGGTGCTAATTAAACCTCGTCTCACCTTGAAGTTGGAGACATACCACGGGAGAGAGGAGCTGTCGGTCAGACACACCTGCACACACCATCACAGCCTTAACTTATCAACCAGTAAGTGAGAACACCTGTGTGGATGAACCACAGCTGTGCAGGCTCCATGAGGTTTCTTGGTCAAAATGAAAGCAAATGGCGCCATCTTGTGGTTGAATTCTGGTACTGCACATCCCTGGTCACACATCATCTGCAAAAATAACCCCGTTTTCCCAAATAAAACTGTGTTAAGGTCAATAATGCAGCGCACAAGGTTTAATTTGTACTGATATTTAATATTTAGACATGGGGCAACAGCCATTTTTACAGCACAATTTGCATAATTTATCAATACCTCCTGTATACAATCACAAAACCATGACAGTATATTTTTTTTCAGTTTACTTACAAGTGAAAAACCAGACGGGTTTTACAAGCATAATCTTTGTACAGTCAGCATACATCATCAATAATTTTAATAGGTTTTTATTCATAATTTCCCCCTCTATAACATTTTGTACTATATCTTCCTCTACCTCATTCTTTTTTTTTTGTTTACTTTAATAATATCTGGACACAAAAATAGTATGAACCACCAACAAAACATGCAACATCCAGTGTGAGCACATTTAAATTCTCCTGCGACTGCTCCGAGTTGTTACGATAGACTTCTGTGTAGTTAGACTCTGGTAAACCTTTAGTGTTTGGTGCGAAGGGGGTTGGGGTAAATCTGGGTCCCTACAGACAGACATAAGGTCGTTTCTCAGTCTATCCGCTGTACATTGATCGAGAGAAAAACAACGTCCTTTAACTTCTATCATCACACACCTTTTTTTTTTTTATGTCTACTAAAAGACCTATTGCTCCCCAAATCCCAGTATAAAAAGCGATGTATTTACAAGGTTGGAAATAGAGAGATGGCATCTGTGTGTGTGTGTGTGTGTGTGTGTGTGTGTGTGTGTGTGTGTGTGTGTGTGTGTGCGTGTGTGTGAGAGAATGCATGTATTTCTGTGTGTTATTTTAAAGTTTTCGACAGACAACACTTAAAAGAAGAGATATGCATTAGAGCCAATGACATGCATGGACTTGATGTGAAGATGCTACACACAAGCACGTGGGTATAAAAAGAAGGAAAACCAAAAAACACACACCGACTTTAAATCTCAGGCAAATGTCCAGTGATTATAATGAAGTCTTTTTTGGTAATTTCTCATACACAACTGTTCAAACAAGGGGTGCAGAAAAAGAATAGGAATGTTATTTTTTCTTCTCTCGACTCATAACTATGTGAAATTTGGGATCTATGTGAGTGTGTTTGTGCACAAGGACGATGAGAAAGTTGGTTCTCTGAGTTTCAGGCTCTCTACACCTTGTAAACAAGCTACTACATTGTGTATAAAAACAAAAAAGTTCTCCACTTTTTTTATGTACACCTGATATGTACTGTAAACAAATATAATACAACGTGTGAAATAGTCTCACAGGCAATAAATAAAAAGTACAAAATAACACACAAAAGTCACATTAAAGCAGTCGTCGTTTCATGGAGGACATGAAAACACAGCAGTGCAAAGAAAAAAGTCGATATAAATGCTTCCTTTCGTCTCATGTTTCCGGCGAGTCAAGATGCAGTTACCACCTTTATATGGTAGATGTTGCATAGAAATCACTCAGATATTAAGTTTCACTGCTAAGTTGGACTGGAATTGTTGAATGGACCAGCTGTTCTGCTTCTTGACCCCCGTACAAGTGCACGTGATGACCTTTATCAAGACGTAACGGACAGATTCTTAAAGACGTTGATGATTTGGATTAGAAGAGGTAAATGACAACACATATGTCAAAACAAAACATAAGCATGCTACTATAATAGCATTGTCATGTCTTAGAATGGTAACAGTCAGTGGTGTAGTGGAGGATATATACGCCATAGGGTGTACCTGCCTCTTTTTCTGGCTGTTTACTGCAGTGGTTCCCAACCTTTTCCTTGGGTAAACTGACGACTCCTGACTAAGTGAAATCAGCAAGGCGTTCTCATCCCCATTGGTCGAATACTGCTGTTTTGTCAGTGGACCTGAAAGTCAAAGTAAGACGTGCTAGCTAGCTCCCTGCATCAGTTTTGGACGTTCTTGGAAGGCTTGTCTTTTCAAAATACACTTCAGTTTTCACAGGAAATGTGCAGTTTCTGCTCCTTAGATGAATACAGCCTTTTTCAAAATAGACTTAAAGTGCAGGCGAAACGCTTCATTTTTACATTGATGTCTTTAAGGGTGCTTTCAGACCTAGAGTTGTCTTGCTTTGGTCTGAATCAGGGACTAATTTGGTCACCAAGTTGTACAATTACCTAGAGTGTGTTCGTGTTCTCACGGCAGCATTTACAAGTGGACCAGATCAAATGTCTTGCACGAGAAATCTGCTCTTGATAGGTCAGAATTTCCATGTGGGAAAAATCCAGGAAGTAAACAAAACACTGAAGAAGAGTACACTTGCAAGATAAATGTGACACTTTCTAATGTCACAATGGAGGGACAACTACGCAGGTTGATTTTAGCGCTGCTCATCGTGGACTATATTGCTGTCATTGTTCATTTTAGTCAAACCATACAGTTTGAAAACGAGGCGCGGCTCCAACTAGAAAACAATGTTTTGATGCATTGGATGTGCTGAATGTGCATATTAAGGCAGTACAGGAGGAGGTGCACATTAATAATCCTCTAGGACTGTAACATGCTCATGTTTAACCCAAACAATGTGTCATGTGACTGCAGTTGGTTCAGATCCAGGTCAGAACACGTTCTCACCACAAACGAAAAGCACCAGAGTTTGTTTGTAACCGGACAAAGGGCACCTGCCCGAATTAACTGCACTTAGGGGGCAAACAAACTTGAGTTTGATTGAACCAAACCAAACAGGGCAGGCATCTACTTTAAATTGTCTTACACCTTTTCAAATCAAGAAGGCCTTGTGACCTCCGTGAAGCTTTATTAACCTCTAGTGAGGGTTGAGAACCAGTGCGTTACAGCATACCCACCAGTATAAATCCCGCTTACATTGTACACCCAACTCATCATCTACCACTACACCACTGATAACAGTTTTCATGGATAGTTTCCGACACCTTTGTCTCTTGTTCGCTGCAAAATCTCCTGATATTGTCGTCCTTCTACTTCACCTCTCTACTCCCTCCCCTAGGAAAGAAAAAAAATCTCTCGCTGTCTCATTTTTAGCAGGATGATGACGTCAGTTTTACATTCTATGCAGAAAAAGTGCAAAATACCACAAAAGCGTGCTCCTATGAACAAAAGCAGGACTGATATGGGATTCGTCATGTGCCTGGATCTCACAAAAGAAAAACAAGAAATACTTAAATCTCATCTGGTTAACGTGTCACATTCTAAAGGGGCATCGTGGGTAAATAAAACCTCTATGTCACAATCATCAAGACTCGATTGTCCGTGATAAAGATATCTATATATCTATCTATATATGTTATAATTAATTTCCAGCTATGACACTTCACTATATACAAAGTGAACCTTGGAGGTGATTTTTTTTTCTGTGCTGAACATGTGGCACTGCATACCAAATAGATAAACTCATGCGCACAATATATAGTGTCCAATTTGATATATATCAATATCGATCCATTATCAAACAATGATAATCATTTGATAGTTTACACGTATGGAGAGAAAAGATGTCAACGAGGAGATGTTTTTAATAAATTCATGCTTGCTGAGGTTCCTTTTTTCCTCTGGAACTGGAATGCTAGGTAGTGTGTTAGAAAATATACTATGCTTTCTTCCCAGGATAGATTTTTAAATAATCGAGGAGGAGACAAATGATAGAACTCTACGCTAGTATAATAATACAAAAATAAATAGGAGGTCTCCGTAGCGGAGTCTTCAATATTTCATTCCCAAAATGCTTTGTAAATCAATAAAACTCTGCGCTCATAATAAAGCAATGAGGAAAATCTTTCATGGATAAAACATCTTAATAAATAAATTTGAATCCACAAGTGTGTCCATTCCCTGTAGAATTAAAATGTCTCTTCTGCGTGAATGAGTGTGCAAAGTTGTCTTGGATAATCGTGTGTGTGTGCATGTGTGTGTGTGTGTTGTGATTTGAAGTGTGTAATACCTGGTTGACTCCGTGTCTGACCTCTGAACTCAGCACCTGTGTTCTCCTCAGCCCCGGCTTCACTACTGTACACTGTACGTCCTGTAAACTTGTGTTCGTTTCCTGTAAACGCAAAACTACTTCCTCAAAACCTCCTGCACGACAGAAATCATCTTCACAGCTGCTCTTACGAACGAAAGCGTCCTCCAAAACTCTGAGCCCTGAAATAAAGATTGAAGAAAGAGATATTTTCGCCCCCTCCCGTACCCACACCACCCTCTCCCCCACCCGTCAAGAGTGGATCGATGACAGACACCTCTTTGTGCCCTCTCAGGCTTAGTTTGTTTTTTAGATTGAGTCTCCTTCTATGAGTGGATCTGGGCGGTGCTGGTGAGCAGCTTGTGCCAGCTCACCACTCGCTTGCGTAGGTCGACTTTGTCCAGCCACACGTAGGCCTCCCCGATCAGGGTCTTCTTCATGAACTTTCCACCGTTGGACACCAGGAAGAGCTTATGTGGAAAGAACAGAGAGCAGTATGTTATATGACTGAATCTTTAAAGTAATCTACCAGGTGTACAACAGATTGATATCCATAGTTTAACAGGGGGAGGTGTGCGTGAGGGGCTGAGGAGTCAAGAGGAAGAATCTGAATGAGGGAGGACACTTTTGCACAGGCAGTGAACAGTATTGGAGTACATCAAAATACTCTAGTTTAACAGCAATAAAAATATATTTTTATGGATTCACATAATCTGTTTTTTCATGCCTAAAGAGGAATAAAAACACTTGACTGAAATAGTCCTAATTCATGCATGGAAGGGTTAGATGTTTTCCCTGTTTCCAGGCTTTATGCTAAGCTAAGCTAACCATGTCAAGGTTCTAGCATCATATTTAGAAGACATACACAAGTGGTACCCAGCTTCTCATCTAACTCTTGGCAAGAAAACAACAAACAACAACATATTCAAATAAGAAGCATTACTTGATACGTTAGTGTCCGAATGATTACAGAATGAATTCAACGACCGGATTAGGATTACCTGTAGAGAGTGTCCTGCGGGGTTCATACAGAAGCGGAAGGTTTCATTAAAAGATGGCTCGCGGTCATGACGACACACTCTGGTCTTCTTCTTGATGATCCTTTTCTGGGTGGCGATGTTCACCACATAGAGCTTCACATATAGATCTGTGGACACACACACACACACACACACACACAAATCAGTGTAAAGCTGACATCACACTGAATAAATGTGATTCTGGGTGAAGCCCAGAGGCAAGAAGAGCTGTCCCTGTTGTAGCTGTTAGTGTCCTTATTCAAAGTATTGTATTTCAACTCGAGTCATACAAGAGATGTAAATAGATTGTGATTGTTTCATGTTTCTTTCCCGATCCTGTATATTGTTTGTGTATGAATTTTACCAACTTTGTCAAATCTGTGTGGATGCTTTTGCTATTATATGTCACACCCAGACGCTAATGTTCACCACCTTTTCACAGATTAAGTATGAAATCAGTTAACCATGGAGGGAAACACGAGTGACCGAATTTGAAATTGGGCCTACGCATAAAAAAAAAAAAAAAAAAAGATTCTGAGAAAAATCTCAGGATTTCCATGATTTAAGTTGTAAATCTGCAAAAAAATAAAAACAAACAAATAAAAAAACATATTACTACTACTGCTATGACTACTACTACTACTACTAGTAATAATAATGATAATAATAGATACAGAGTCGCTGGGAGATGGGGGTAATATTCAAAGAAAACAAATGTCATTTTCTGTAAAAAACAAAAACAAAAAAACAAACAAAAAACACAACAACTATTTTCCTGATTTTTTTTTTCAGTAATTTGTGGCTTTCATCTCTGAATATTATAGTTATATATAAGTTTTATTTTTTCTTGCAAATTTGTAATTATTTGCTCATAAATTTACCACTTAAATCTCAGAGAGTGCTTACTTTTTTGTGTCTGTAAATTTACAACTTAAATCAAGGAAATCCTGAGATATTTCTAAGAATATAACCCCTTCAATTCAGTTCAGGTCAATTAAATTGAACATTTTTTTTTTTTATCCCAAAGGAAATTCTTGTGCCAGAGATTGCTTCAAACTACAGTTACACTAAGTACAGTTACCAGTGGGTTCCCCAGGTCAGGGTCACTAACTGGGCCCAGTTTTATTACAATAGAGTATTAAATATCTGGCAAAATATACAAATATACAAGATAGAAGTGTTTTCAAGGAGCAAAACCAAAAGCCAGTGCCTAATAGAGTAACAATAGGAGTATGATAAATACAAGAGTTACTAAAAATGAACTAAAATGGTGGAAAAAAACAGACTGCGCCTGATAATCATTGTTATAATGAATATGATGCAATTTGATGGCCACAGGTAGAAAAGATCTCCTGTGACATTGTGTGATCCTCCCTCACCCTGCTCAGTATTTCTTTCTTTTATCTACAATGGCTCTAATATGCCAGTCTGGGTCAGTCATACTTGTTGGGTGAGTGGAGTTGGGTGGAGTTTATTTTTCTCCTGCAGACAGCCACTAGAGGGCAGTAAGAAGGCTGTAACTCCAAAGATGTCGAGGCCACTTAACATGTAGAGAAGAAACGCTTCAGAAATAGTCACAGATGCATTCTGTGCTTTCTACATAAACCTTTGTGTGCACGTTCCATCTGGAAGCAAAAGCACATCAAACAAGTGGCCGGCAGCTTGGGTTTTAGGATGTAAATATGACTGGAGGAGGCGCGGTGGGTGGCAAGCTGCGGTCTGTCGAGGGAAGATAAGTCTGATTTTACTGTGTGCACCAGCGACAGGACTGTGCAGTGTTAATAGAGTCACATGTAATCTAAATACTGTTATACATACTGTGGATACCACTGGTTAGATTACACAGTAGTACTTGTTACTCAGGGTGCTGCTGATTTTCTAAACTATAAGATTAGAGTAACAGTAATAAGATTAAGTTTTCATCCTGGGTGCCAGAGGCCTCTTCCTCCTCTGCTGCAGCACAGGAGCTCTTAAGCACCTCCTCCATGCCAGGTGTGATGCACCTTGTTAAGTAATGCAGCACACCTGGGGAGATCTACAAGGGAGGGAAAGGGACAGCAGTACAGAACACATGAACACAGTCACAACAGACTTGACCGCTGCCTTAGATACAGTCAATCACTCGATTTCTTTATCTCATCTTAAAGAGTGTGTGGGTATTAAGGGTATGGCCCTTGAATGGTTCAAGGCTCATCTGTTAAAAAGGAGTTTCTCTGTCCAACTTGGTGAATTTTCTCCTGTGGGGTACCCCAGGGGTCCATTTTGGGCCCCTTACTGTTTTCCCTATATATACTGCCCCTGGGTTCCATTTTCAAAAAATATGCTATCTCCTTCCATTGTTTTGTGGACAATGTGCAGATTTATTTGCCGTTTAAAATCAATAATACAGACTCACTGCAAGCCCTGTTAAACTGTTTGAGAGATCTAAAAACTTGGCTGGATTTGAACTTTCAGTGCTTGAATGAAAATAAGACTGAAGTTATTGTGGTTGGTTGTTCTGATCAGGCAAACTCACTCCGAAGTCGTCGAAATCCTGCACTTGGGCAATAAAGGCATCCTTTAACGTCGGCATGATACTCGGCTGGTTGCCGTTATAGTTTAACGGTGCCTGGACGAAAGTTAAGGTGGCGGGCGGGAGTGGTGGTGGGTGGGTCCAACAGTAACACACCCAGGGTACCTTGCACGTTGTATTTAGATGTGGAGAGTCCATGACCAAACATGTCAATATGTGACGAGGTCAGATTGAGAATGTGTTGCTGTGGCAAGGACAGTGCCTTTACATGTATACATGGGGTGCCTGCTCTACCCCCTGAGCCACTGGGCGACCCTAATACTGTGAGATAATATTGGAAGGTTAGATATTCAGATATCTAGATATTCACTGCTGCTGATAGTCAGTGTTGCAGTTCTTGTCCAAGTGCACACACAGTGACACGTCAAACCTCTGCTACTGTACAGTATGTCCACAGTGTGCCCCTTTTTTATGTGTCACTTACGAGGTAGAGTGCAAGATTAGCGGTTCGATCCCCGGCTCCTCCAGTATCCTTGGGCGAGATACTGAACCCCAAATTGCTCCCAGTGGCTGTTACATCAGTGTGTGAGTGCGTGTGAATGGTTACTGAGTAGCAGGTGGCACCAGGTATGCTAGCCTTGGCCACCAGTGTGTGACTGGGTCAATGTGACATGTAGTGTAGAAGCACTAGAAAAGCGCTACACAAGTGCAGCCCATTACTCCTGTCTCTGTGGTGTTTTTAACCCTGCGCCGATACATTACTGCAGACTGGGTTAAGTGAATGTCTAATGCTGCTTTCCAAGGGACTGTTGGCTGGAAAACACTATCTCAACACCTGTGGTTCTGCACTGAGACAAACTGGCAAGGATTTTGTGGTTATGTCAGATGCCAGTTTTTCTAAACAGTGTGGGCTGTGTGGGCCTCCCAGCTGTCAAATATTAAAATTATGAAAATGATATGTATTGCATATTATTGTTTCTGAAGGCTGTGAAGGGATTGTGAAGAGTTCTGACAGAAGTGTGAACAAAAGTGGAAATAACTTTTTGAAAAGTCCTGCATGTTGAGCTGTAAAGTTTTTTTTTAATGAAGTTATTATAAATAAGGTTCAGGAACATTATCACACTGCTATCACTCATGATTAACTAAATTCCTTTTCTGTCAGTCCTGTCATCCTTCAGTCTTTTATTGAGAGCCTCCTGTGTTTTTCATTTATCTGCTGGTTTCACAGCCTCACACTGAAAGACAGAAACAGTCTAAATAGCACTGTTAAAATCTGCTCTGAGATCACAGGAGTGACACAACAGGACTTGTCCGTTTTTTACAATCAACAAATCCTCCTGAAAGCCAAAACTACTTGTATTTTATCTTCTTCTGGAACGTGTTCTTGCAGGCGAATTTTCCCTGTTGCCGTCAGGGAGTCGTTACACTTTACCTGCTTGTAAAACTATCCGGTATTGAAAATTTTTTGCACATATTGACGTTTAGTCATATACAGCATGCGAGGTATCCTGGGTGCGTTGGTTGTTGACCATCTGGGACGCCTTGTGAAGTTTTCTCCTTTCAAGATACATTTCCGTTTTCACAGGAAATTTGCCGTTTACATACAGTCTCTTTCAAAATAAAAGCACTACGTCAGTACAACAACACACTAAAAATTGACTTTTTTTCCCTCCAACAACAAACACACATGGTTAGGTTTTGGAAAAAAGAACAGGTTTTGGCTTTAGAATCTTACGGGATGCAAACTCTGCTCTCTTGGGTGAAAGTCTGCAGTTGTTGGACCCATCTACCACCACTCCTGCCCGCCCTACTGCCTTAACTTTTGTCCCTATTCCACTTCGTTTCCCCCTGATGCTGCCGGACACTGTTAAACTATAACAGCTACTGGCCACGTATCATGCCGACATTCAAGGACGCCTTTTCTCGTTGGCTTCTGACGCGGCAAGTCTCTGCCCAAGCATGGTGGCCCAGCTGCACTGGAGGGGAGATGGCGAAGCCTGAAACTCAACGACACCCTCCAGCCACACCACAACTCAGTCCAAACCCCTTTTTATCCCTCTCCTCGACCCCCACCCACATCATCCAATCATACGTGACCCCAACCAACCTTGTCCACCAGTAAACAACCCCCTTCTCATCCCTCCCCTAGACCCTGATCATCCCATCGAACACTCTCCTCACCCCATCTTTCCCTTATCCTGTAGACACCCTACATAAAACTACTTGCATAATATACACGTCATGGACACATGGAAAGGTGTGCGTGCTGTGTGTGCACTTATATTAAATTACCAGGCAGGTGGTCTGGAGTCTTGAACTTGTAGGTGATGTTGCGACATTGAAGAATCTCAAGGACCAGTTGCTCACCCTCCGTCTTCACCTCCTTCTTCAGAGCGATCTTGATCTCCCCCATCACCTGGGACTTACCTGAACACACACACACACAAATTCAATCAGCACAGTTAGATACACACCACACATGAGTTTGAGTATCTCAGCTGCACATATTCAATGCCATCAATGTGCGTCTCTCACTACCTCTTGTGTTTGTGAATGCCCTCCGCTGGAGACAAAGTGTACTGCAGTGATGAGTAATATCAAACATGACCTGCAAGCAATCACATTTATTTGTTTAACAAGGATGGTGAGAAGTTATGAGGAGCTCTGCCTGGCTTTTGGTTGCCGTGGAAACTGAATGGAAATTACAGTTTTGAAAGCTGGGTCAACAAGACCCTGGCAAACGGTGAGGGTAGCCTCTGTGTGTGTGTGTGTGTGTGTGTGTGTGTGTGTGTGTGTGTATGATACCAGAGGACAGACACATTGACAAAAAGAGTCAGAGTCAGAGGGAAGAGAGAGCAAATGATAAAGAGATTAAAAGCCATGTGGATAAGAATAACTGCATTAATGTGATCATCAGTGTGTGTGTGTGTGTGTGTGTGTGTTTTAAGCTACCGTCTCACACTTTGTCGGAAATGTGAAAGTGAGATAACAAACCTCCTTCTAGCTTTTAAAGGTCATCTTTGCACATTTGCATTAGTCAGAACTACTTGACTCAAACTTCACAGGCAGGAGAGAGAAGTTAGGAAGGAAAATTGATAAAAAAATAATCTGTAAATTAGTTAGTTAATAAATCTACATATGATGTGAATGATGCATATGAACATTTTAATACCAGCGATGGAAAGAGTCAAGTAAACATACAAAGAGACTAGATTTTCAAGCTAAAAAAACATGACACAGGTAAAATAGTAATCTGTGAACAGCATTACTAATCTTGAAACCTATTTTTTTTAAATTTGAATCCATGCCATAATAATCTGGGCTGCTCTAACCTGCTCTGACCCTTCACTATGTACTGCCCCTGGACGCAGAGCGGCCAATCATAACGTAACATCGGGCCGGCTCAGACCAGGGTCCAACAACAACACAGCTGTGCTCCACTGACTCTAATGCAGTCATTCCTTCATTTTCAGGCTGGTTTTGTGGATTTGGAGCTAAATGTTGTGCCTGGGGCACGTCATGTATTAATGATACTCGTTACCTGGAGAGGTTGGAGAAAGATATACGCTTCTTCCCTGTTCCGAAGCCAAAACCGACCCTGCTGTACAGGAACCAGTGAAGGGAAGCAGGGAAACTCTGCTGATATTCAACCAGCTCTGTGTCATCACTTTGTGCAAAGATTAAAGGTGTTTGGCTTCCCCCATCTGCACACACTGCGATGCCACACAGCTGGTTCAATATCAGCAAAGTTTCCCTTTATATTCATTGTCTTGTGTGGCGATCAGCAGTGATGTGGTGGTTCACTTTTACACTGTGATCTGTAGCCTATAGTTCGGCTTTAGCTTCTAACTATCTTTGTCTTTTTAACCTGTTGTTGCTGCTGAGTCAGTTTGACGTCCTGGATATATCCTTCAAACACAGACTGTAGACCCCTCTGTCTGCTTCTTTCTGGAATCACTCTTTCATTTCTATATGTGTATTTCTGAAGTGGCAATCTGAATCTGTTACAAGAGCCTGTTCTCTGGCCAACATGCTGTTGGAGGGCCTGCTCTCTCTACAAGCCCCCCATCCCATGGGCCCCAGCGCAACTGCACTGCCTGCACTGCAAACAATGTATGTGTGAGTGTGTGTGTGTGTGTGTGTGTATGAATGTATCAACACCCATGCATGTATAGTATGTCTAACCTTCAGCGTCACCAAGTCCCATTGATGATTTCATCGCGTCTGTGCCGTTGGGAATCTTTCCACTAAAGAGAGGGAAAACAAAATCCTGGAAATTTACAGAACTATACAAGAGTTTATATCACACTCTATGTCTTCTGTTTTTTAAGATAAAGGAATTAAGAAAGCTGACTCACAATCGGGGCACCTGGAAGATGGCACTGTCCACCTCGTTCGTCTCTCCTTCTTCGTCCAGCAGGCTGTAGGCGCTGCCGCTCAGGCCGCTGTCCAACGAGGCTGCTGTGACCGGGGCATCGCTGGATCTGTAGCTCGACCGAGCTGTGCAGAGATACGACCACACCCATCACGACAAAGAGACAGGAAGAAAAATTGCACCTCTGCCGGATTCAAGATTGTAAAAACTAGGGCCAAGAAGCATGAGTTAATATCTGCAGCGACTAACATCCATCATAATCAACTTCATCCTTCATTTATGTTGCAGTCAGAAGAGGAGCTTTATCGGAGCACAGAAGACTGGATTGTAATGAATAGCACACAAACACTGCGGACTAGTGAGAAGCACATTAACAAACAGAGTACTTAGAGTCTTTCTCTCAGACAGAGACAGGACGGTAATATCTGACATGTAAAGCTAGAACATGAAACAGACAAATAAATCCAGAGAACATCACATATATATGTTTATGCAAAAGTAGACCAAACAAGAGGCACATAGACCCTGCTGACATTGTTAGTCATCTGTATGAACTATTGATAATCTCAATCTCAGCATTAGTTTAATTTAAAATTACATGAATATAGTTCCTGTTTAAAGTCTGTTTATGAGTGTAGCTTTTCTTTTAATAAATATATTTAAAAACCTGTTTATATGCAACATATTTTAAAAGTATTCCTTTAAAAAAAGTCTTTAAATGTCAACATTTAATTGTCAAACAGCTGATCAGGCAGTGTGATAGAGTATGAATGATGTGAGATGCGTGGATGTGGTGCAGAACAGGATCCATGCCGACACGTTTTTCTCTCAGGCCACTCAACACGTCATCACTGGCTGACTACTAAAGCTCACTAATACCATTTCAATGAAGCACTGGGCGAGTCGTGACCACGGGCGGATTATGAGACAACGTCTCCCTGGGCACTGTTATGCAAAAGGCCCCACCACCTCTCCTACACAGAATCAAGACACATAGACTCTGTGGTGGTTTTGCTTCTTTTATTGTTGTTTGTGTCTCTTTGTAGTTGTTTTGCTCCTTTTTTAGGTTATTTTATTCTATTTATAGTTAGTTTGTTTTTCATTGTAGTCGCTTTGCATATCTCTGCGGTTGCTTTGCCTGTTTTTTTTGTAGTTCGTTTGTGTCTCTGTGTCACCAATTTATGTCTCTCCGTAGTTGTTTTGCCTATTTCTTAGTTATTTTGTGTCTCTTTGTAGTTGTTTTGTGTCCCTCTGTAGTCATTTTCCGTCTCTCTGTAGTTGTTTTGTGTCTCTCTGTAGTTACTTTGTGTCTCTCTGTAGTTATTTTGCGTCTCTATATAGTGATTTTGTGTCTCTCTCTGTAGCTGTTTGTGTCTCTCTGTAGTTGTTTTGTGTCTCTATGTAGTCATTTTGTGTCTCTCTCTGTAGCTGTTTGTGTCTCTCTGTAGTTGTTTTGTGTCTCGATGTAGTCATTTTGTGTCTCTCTCTGTAGCTGTTTGTGTCTCTCTGTAG